CCCCACAGACGCAAAAGGGGTCCGGCATGTCCAGAACCGCCCTGACTTTTTCAGGGTCAGCCTTGAGGCCCTCCGCGGACAGTATGTGGCCGTGGAAGCGGACCTCCTTCACTCGGAACTGCAGCTTTTTCAGGCCCAGTCTCAGCTTTACTTCCCTGCATCTGTCCATCAGAGCGATGAGGTTTGTGTCATGGTCGCGATTGGCCTCATCCTCTGTGTCCCCACAGCCGACTATAAGGATGTCATCGGCTATGGGCTCAATCCCTGTCAAGCCGGCCAGCTGCTCATGCTGCTCATGCTCACTATATCTGTAAAGCGTCTTTGAGCACCTGTAAAAGCGCTAACAAATTAAATCTATTATTATTATTATTATGCTGCTTCCTTTGATACAGCTCCGGGGCAACTGACACACCGAAAGGGAGTTTTAGCCAGCGTTTCCTACCCCACGGTGTCCAGAATGTTGTCATCAGGCTGCTTTCTTCATCCAAGCGGCACTGCAGGAATGCATCACGTGCATCCACCAGGGTGAATATACGTGCCTTCGGCAGTGTTAGGTTTCCCGAGAAGTGACTGGAGATGAGAACCCGCTATGCAAGCACTACAACTGAGACTGTGGTGAAGTGTCAAAAAGGCTTTATTTTGTCCACGACACTGACAAGGAGTTGACGAAGCACACGTAGAGGGAAGACGTAGAGCTGGCCTGCTCTGGAGGGGAGGCTGGACGTGGCAGGCAGAGCGGCTGGAGTATGTGGATCTGGAACAGGAAAAACAAGCAGGATTAGGAAATGATCTCCCTTCACTAGGAGCATCAAAAAAGTCACTAGGAAAAAACACTAGTAGGTCTGGACGATAGTTTACCACTGAAGAATAAACGAAGAACTGGCGAAGTCTGAAGATGGGAACCAGGGTTTTAAGCAGGTGCAGGTGAATAGTGGCAATCAGTGAGATGAGCAGCAGCTGAGGAGGTGAGTTGGCGGGAATCGGAATGTAGGTAGCCACGCCCAGCCAGGGAGACAGACACACAGACATACAGACAAAACAAACACAGGGGAAAAAGAAGGAGGAAGTACTGCAGATCCTCACAGGCAGCTTATACAACACGTCATCTAAAGTGGGCATAAGGTAGTGGGACCGTTTCAGAGCACGGTTGAGAGGCTTCGGGTCAATGCATAGTCTCAATTTGTCTGGCTTTTTCACTATGACTAGATTGCTAATCCAGTCCGTGGGTTGAGTGACTGTGGTCAAGTGTCCCTCCTCTTCATATCGATCAAGCTGAGCCTTAACAGCTGCCTTGAGAGCCACTGGAACGTTCCTGGGAGCACACTGCACCAGTGCCACAGTGCTGTCCAGCTCAAAGTGAATATCACCGGGCAGAGACTCAACAGGGCTGGTGAACACGTCGTGGTAGATGCTGACCAGACACTCCTTGGTCAGGTCTCCATTCCTGCAGTGCTCCACCTTATTCAGCTCCTCAGGAATGGTGAAGCGTATCTGACCAAGTCTCTCACATGTCTCACCCGAAAGCAAGGGCCTCTGGCCAGTATGCACAATCTCAAAGTCCAGTCTGTGCATCTTACCCCTAATGACGCATTGTGTGCTGTACACACCTAATGAGCTCATCCACTCACTGTTGTATAGTTTTAATCTGGTGAGACTCTTCAGAAGAGGTGTTCTAGGCGCCAGTCTCGTCTTGTCCTTGATGCTCAACACATTGCAAGTGGCTCCAGAGTCGAGCTGGCACCTCTGAACCCCACTTTGCAGTGGCAGGTTGACAAACCACTTTTTACCTTGAGTGTTCACAGCCCCCACGCTCTCCGCTGTGTAGACGTCTCTCTCATCGCTGTCCTCCAGTTCCCCTGGCAACGGGTCATCCACAGCATTCAACTGGCGTGCCTGCTGGCCTCTTTTCATGCATACTTTTGCAAAATGGTTAGCAGTGCCACACGAGCGGCACGATTTACCAAAAGCAGGGCACAGGTCCCGTCCACGCTTGTGCCGTGTGCCACAGTACTTGCATTCGCCAGCGTCTCTCATGCTCTGTGGTTGTGCAGATGTGTTGGTGGACTCGGATGGCCTACTGGCAGACCTCCGTCCATATCGCTGTCCTGTGTGGCATTAATGCTGTCCCCAGGTCCAGAGCTGCCCAGTGACATGGTTTTTAACTTGCTGTCCATGACCTCGGCTGCACGGCAAATGTTAATGGCCTCGTCCAATTTAAGGTCCTTTTCCCTTAGTAAGCGACGTCTAGCACCCTCGTCAGTTATCCCGAGAACAAGCGTGTCCCTTATGAGTTCATCTTTTATAGCTCCATATTCACAAGAGGCAGCCTTTTCCCTCAGCCTGGTAGCAAACGCATCAAAGAGCTCTCCATCCTCTTGTTTAAGGTTGCCAAAAACGTACCTCTCAAAGATTACATTCTTTGCGGGTGTGAAGTATTGCTCCAGTGCCACCAGTATAGCACCCGCATCTTTTTGTTGGTCCGCGGTGAGTCCCAGGTTGTGTTTGTAAACATGTCGGCAGTCGTTCCCCATTAGCCTCCTGAGCGCAGCTGCTTGTACCGGCTTTACTTTCTCGCTGAGCCCGGTCGCAAGCAGATAATCCTCAAATTCTGCTCGAAAGCTCACCCAGTTGCCGTGGATGTCTCCCGCCATCTTCATAGACTCCGGAGGTGGGATGCTGGATGCCATTGTTCCAACGTGACGCTAATGCTAACAGGCTAACTGAAACTGCTAAACCTCACCAAAACAAATAAACGCACTCTGTCTCAGCGACGGACAGTAGCATGCAATCCACAGCTGGGTCCTATTTGAGCTTATGACACCATGTTTATGCATTAATAAACAAGGCAAGGCAGGCTGTGTCTCAACGCTGTGTATTCACATTGAGCAGGCAATCATACAACTGAGGTATATTACGTGAGGCAGATATATATATAACACAGGCACAATACGTCCACAGGGTGGAGCTGCAACCTAGCCTAAACCACCCTGTAACATCCACCGCCCAGACCTAACGGAGCCGCAGTGGGCTAGCTCCGGGACGCCGGCTGGAGCTAGCCCCCTGCGGCTCCGTTAGCTCCGGCGGCCACCACTGGGATAATTGGGTCCCCTATTAACATTTGCTCCCGTTTAGCATTAGGGGCGTCATAGCCATAGACTATAAAAGTCTTACCCAAGGCTGAATCATAAACTAAAATGTATATGTATGCATAAAGGGTTACGTCCTTAGCTGGCTAATAAGTAGCAAGCTAAGCTACCAAGCACACAAACACCTGCGAACGGGGTTAACATGTATAATATTATAATTTTAGACTTCTTGGAAGTTCTGTTAGTACATTCAAGCGCACAGCACAACATTGTAATTGTCTGGTATTTGTAACAATATTCCCTAAAAGGCACAATCACCACGAACACGGCTAAAGCTAAAGGGTCAAGTACAGTACTATTACTAACTAACGTTGTAGCCTCTATGGTTGTAGCCTAGCAGAGTGGACAAGTTGCTGTTAGCTGACAGTGAGGCATGTACATGTCCATCAAAGTGACCACGCCCTAATTTATGCAAAAGCTTTAAGGCTTAATATTAATTGATGAGTTGAGAAAAAATTCACCCCCCACACAGTAGTCATGAAGGGGGAATCTAACTATACAGAGAATATGGTTTTTTGAACCACGATGTAAACATGTTTATTTCTGCTGTAAAGTTGGGCATTTTAACATGGGGGTCTATGGAAATGTCTCCCTTCTGTAACCTGCTCCTACTGGCCACTAGATGAACTGCAGTGTGTGGCACTTCCGTATTGGCGTCCCGGCTCTTCCCCAGAGTTTGCCGCTTGGTGCACACACACAAACTCCCAGCCAGGCTGCGGGTGTGTGTGTGTTTTGGCTAGGTTTCGCTGTGTCTTGCTGTCTCGCAGACGGCCACTGGGCTCACAGGGAGGGGGGGGCAGGAGCTCCAACAAGCCGTTTAGGACAGAGAGTGAAAACACATACTATAAAGAGATACTGTATAAGAAACCAATGCGATTTTGGAACATTGCACAATATAAGTCTATTTTAGTAGACCTCAACAATGGAATTATGATCAGTAGAAATGGCCATGACATGGGACCTTTAAAAGATAAATGATAGGATAAAGTAAAAACTCTACTGTCTGTACACCAGATCATTACTGCTATAATACAGACTGAAGGAGCCTGTGAGCTGCTCAGCATGATGTATTGTGTTAGTAACGGATAATGGATTTCTGAATGCATTGGGTGTCTTTGACTTCCCAGAGGTCAGACAAACCTACAGTACAACACACAGGATCATGTGATACTGATTTAAAGTAATGCAGTTCATGATAGTTCACCAAAACATGTGTTACTTTTCTGAAGACCTCCTGGACTGCATTGGTTAATAATATTGTCTACAAGTTTCCCTTTAGGTAAGAATGCAGTATGGGAGATAGTGTAGAGAGAAGATGCCTGGCAGGGCGTCAGGTCACCTGCATCGATCAGAGGGCCGCCAGGACTTCATTACCTGCTCCAGGGTCTTATACCCAGAGGGGCTACCACTTTCCTCGACTAAGCAGACATTCAATGATAAGCAACTTGCCATCCCTTCCTCCACTCCCCTTCGCTCATGCACACACTCCTCTCCAGCAGTCAGCTGAGTTGGGAGCTTCATTAATCTGTGTGTGAAAGTGCTACGTACAGCGGAATTCCCCCTCCCTGTTTTTAACTCAGAGGAAGTTTGTGTTTGTCCTTCTGCGTAGAGGTTGTAGGAAGGCTATATTTGGAATGGATTTCACTGATTAAAGGCAAATGTGTGTTTTGGAAGACAGAGTCTGCAGACTAACATACTTTGCTGCAGATTTTCTTCACAAGAGTGGGGTCCAGATTATCTGTTGTTTGTTGTGATTAACATGGTTTGGGATTGGAATCAGGGGGATGTCAACACAGCATGATTAGACTAACCCCAGCATTAAGACGTATGACTAACAGCTCTCCTGCTCTCCAGATGAAACCAGTCCATCCAACGTGTGGGACTGTAAGAACCGAGGGGTCAACGGCACCCAGAAGGGCCAGATCGTCTGGAGGCTGGAGCCCGGGCCCTACTTTATGGAGCGTAAGTTACAGTAGGCTCTCATACTGGAGAACAGTTTCATTATATTCCTTGTGAATATATTTTTCTTTACTCTTAAGATATTTAATAATCATAATGTTAATGTTTTTCTGAAAAAAAGGTAAATAGTATCACTTCTATATCACCTATGTCTATAATGCATTATAAAGATACTCATAATGCGTTACAATCTGCTTTTATAGTATTTTATATATTTTTTGTATATAGCATTTTATAATCACTTATTGTCAACTTGCATTATCTTACTTAATGCACAATTCAAATTCCACATCTCCCTCTAAAACTTTGCTGCTTCCTCTGCAGCTGAGACTAAGATCTGTTTCAAATACTACCACGGTGTGAGCGGAGCCCTGAGAGCCACCACCCCCTGCATCACTGTGAAGAACCCTGCAGTCCTGGTGTGTGTGTGTGTGTGTGTGTGTGTGTGTGTGTGTGTGTGTGTGTGTGTGTGTGTGTGTGTGTGTGTGTGTGTGTGTGTGTGTGTGTGTGTGTGTGTGTGTGTGTGTGTGTGTGTGTGTGTGTGTCTTTGCTCTATCAGGGTTACATTACGCCAGTGGACGATTAAATTGCTTAACTGAACTAAATTAGGATTATTTTAAGATCTGTAAAGTATTCTATAGTATTATTGTTATAAATGGTCAGCTGTTTTGTAAAGTAATCACAATCTGTAGATCATGGAAGACAGGAAGACATGCAAGTCGTTGTTTTCATACTTTGTATAACCTATGTGTTTCAATGAGCACTTCTGTATTTAATTCTCTCTGGCAAGCTTTGTCCTGCAGTAGGGTTTAGAGTCATTTGAATGGAGAAGAAAACACATGTGGATTGTCTCTGTGTGTTTCTTTTCCTGGTGTATAGAGTGTGACGTTGTTTGTTCTCTCTCAGGCGGAGCAGGTGGGCATCGAACATCCACGGAAACTGATTAGCTTTACTTTGACAGGTGAGTTGAAAGGTTCACATGTTGGAAGCCATTTGTACTGATTTTATAACATGCAGAGTTACGTTTTGTTATGTAATCATTCTCAATAACAGATGATAAGGAACCCTCAGAAGACTTTTGGTTTCAGCTGAGCCATGTCATCTCCTCCTCATGTGTGTCTTATTGTCCTTTCGGGGAAAGCTAAAGTTAACTTTAAAAGCTGTGTTCAGGAAACAGGGGTCTGGGAATTTAAAGAGGGGCTTTCCAAGAAGAGAGGAAGACAGAGAATCAGCTCTGTGTTTATGGTGTTTATGTTCTCAGACAAGAGACTGAGGGAGGGGGGACTGAATCAGCGGGTTTGTGGCTCAGAGGGTTAATCGTTGTTGGATAAAAGCATCAGTTAAATGAATTGTAATGTTAATGTAATACAACATGAAAAATATATGATAACAAAGTCACGTGTCGCCACAAACATTATAACTATCAGATTTTATAGTTTTAAACCCTTCTGTCACTAATGCTTTGTTTTAGATCTTCGTGCCAATGGCCTGAAGAAAGGAATGTTTTTCAATCCGGACCCTTACCTGAAGATGTCCATCCACCCAGGGAAGAGGAGCGTCTTCCCTATCTTCAGCCACCACGGACAGGAGCGACGATCAGCCATCATCGCTAACACCACCAACCCAACCTGGCACGGAGAGGTGACGCTGTTACACTGCACACCATTTCATCATTCCCCTGTTGTTGGCTAGCTAGCATATTTCCTGATTTACAGAAAATGAGCTATGCAAAGTCGTCACTCATGGTCAGTGTTGGGTCGTTACTAAAAAAAGTAATGCATTAATTTTTTTGAAAGTAAATTGCAATGTGTAATGCGTTACTTTTTTTTACTTTACTTAGGTGCTCCCTGCTGAAAGTAACTAGTTACACTACCAGTACACTACATTCGTTTTGAATTATTCTGTAACATCACTTCAGATGCACCATAAATCAAAAGATTAATAACAATATAAAATGAAACCTAATTGATCCCAGATCAGCACCAATCCTTATCTGATAAGGACAGTCCTGAACACAGACCTCTGTTTCTGCTCTGTGTTGGGTTTGGCACTAGGAGGGGGGCCTCATTATTTCTCCTTTTGATTGCTATTTATGCTTACTTATTTTAAAGTACTTACATCAAGTGATGAAAATGTAGTGGGATATTAGGGACTTTATTAAGTTTAAAAAGTCATTGGTAAAAATGTGTGGAACCCTCATGACAGACTGTATGTGTGTGCCTCTGCAGAAGTACACGTTTGTCGCACTAATGACTGACATCCTGTACATCGAGGTGAAGGATAAGTTTGCAAAAAGTCGACCGATCATCAAACGTTTCCTCGGTCAGCTCACCATCCCTGTGCAGAGACTCATCGAAAAAATACCCGGGTAGGTGAAAAACATACAGAAATAAGTTCACACAGGATATTTAAGAATCCTTTCTAATCTTGGAATTGGCCCCCTGTGAAAGGTATCTATATTATTATTCCCGATATTATTCTGAGGGTTTTATTCAAACTAGGGCTGGGCGGTATGACAAAAAACTCATATCACGGTATTTTTCCAAATTATAACGGTATCACAGTATTTATTTATTTTTCAATGATTGGAAATGTATTTACATTTATACATTTTGGCCCCACAAAAAAAACACCTGATCAGTGGGGGCCCTCATGAGTTTTATGTGGAATCAGAATGCATGACACAACTGCAAAAAGTGAACCATATTATTGTGCAAACTTTGCGCACCACATAACAACATAACAACTAACAACAACAGCCCCTGTTTGAAAATGTAAAACAATCACATCCTTACTTCACAGCATGCATTTCCGCGGTGCGCACCGCTCGAGCGCCCTTCAACACATTTTCAACGGTATTGCAGAACATAAATTCATATCATACGGTATAAAGTATCTTGCCCAAGTTATCAAGTATCTTTGATGGTCCCTTTTTTTTCAGTAGTATTACATTGAGACTGTTTATAAGTAGTTGGAAAATCCTTGTAGTAACTTTAAACGTCACAGATATCATGGTGTTGGAATATTTTTCATAGAATTTATCTTAACATAACTGTGTTTATGTATGCATCATATACACCAAGGCAGATTCCTTGTACTGTATGTCTAAACCTACTTGGCATTAAACCTGATTCTGATGTGTTTCTGTCTCCCTGCGGTCCAGAGTCCAGCCTGTGAGTTTCCCTCTGTGTCGCCGCCTGCCTACTGAACACGTAAGCGGAAATTTGCAGTTCAAAGTGGAACCTACATCGACTGGTCCTGATGGTAAATCTGTCTTTAAATTGTATTTGTTCTTCTGAGTATATTTTTCTGAAATTGAAACATGATAAATATAATTTCTTGTGCCTAATGCAGGGGCCTCCCCCGAGTCTATCATTGGCATTTCGTCCTTGAATGGAGCTCCAGGGACTCCATCCGATGATGAAGACCTGCCCCATCATCTTCCAGGAATCTTGTCTTCGGTCCCCTCTCCTACCGGCTCCCAGGGCTCCCAAAGCATGTGGGAAGGCGGGGCCACCGCCTACCCAGAAAAGGAACTGCCTCTTGTGGGAGCTGAGAGCAGATTTGTGGAGCATGAAAGCCTGTCGTGCCATGAAATGCTCCAGAGGTCTCTCAGTGAGGGCCTGGCTGCCATCGAGGCCCCCAAAGGCCCCGGTGAAAGACCCCTGGGTGCAGCCTCACCTAAACTTCGCTCTAGCTTCCCCACTCACACAAGACTCAGCGCCATGTTGCACATCGACTCAGACGAGGACGATGATCGGTCCGGGGCCAACGACATCTTTCCCATGCCGCTGTCCCCGCTGCTGATGAATGGAGAACCTCCAGATGTCAGCGGCCCCGATGAAGATGACCCTTTTCCTGAGTTCCAGCAGGAGCAGCATCAGCTGGAGCCCGCAGCGCAGGTGGAGGAGCCTGGGGGGGCGGGTGGAGCAGAAGCCCTGCCCCCTGAGGCAGAGGGGGCCCTGGAGATGGGGCTGGACTTGGAGGATGTGTTGGAGCCTGACGTCTTCTCCGAAGTGGAAGAGGCCCCTTTTACAGAGGCTGTGTCCCACAACACTGTGCTAGAGGGTGAAGGGCATGAGGAGGGGAGGGGCCCTGGTGAGGACCCCTCCTCAGATATGGACACCTGCTCCATGGCAACAGCCCCACAGACAGCCTTGTCATCATCAGAGAGCTGTCCAATCACAGCCAAAACTGCCGTGGTGAGTTCATGGTCCTTATCCTACTTTTACATTTGGTTAGCTGTAATTTGACCCTCTATGTTTAGCTGACAAATAGTCTATAAAGTTGTATCTTTCATATGTTTAGATTTTATTTTTCAGTTCAGTTTTATTTGCTATTTATAGACGTTTATATTTTATGATTTCTTTTTACTCTTTTTTCATTGTCACATTATGTGCAATGCCTTGTTTTAACATGCTGCTGTGACGAAAACATTTCACAAATTTGGTTCAATAAAGTAAATATTATCTTATCTTTTCTTATCAAGCCAACAGTCGACTCTCCGTTCAATCGTCAGATTTCATGTTATAGTTCTCAGTTCTGTGTAGCCACAGACCCCTGCTTCCCCCCCACTCTGTGCTGACTCTCTCCAGGGTCCTAGCCCTGGCCCTGTATGTGGACAATGCACCATAACACTCTGCTGTAGCATCACCACTCCGTCTTCAACACAGGGGGTTTACAGTACATGTAACATTTTCGGATTAAAATGCCTATAAACAACATTGAGACCCTCAATCATCAGAAAAAATGAAGCTCAGCTGATGTTAGGGTCAGCCCAATCAGTGGGGCGTGTGTATGGAGGAATGCTTAGCGTATAATCCTTCCCCTGGTGGAATCCTCCTGAACAATGAATAATAACGAATTGCCAAGCAGGAGAATCTCACTCCATTGATAAACTCCCATGAGCCCACACTACTTTATGACTTTGTCAAACACCGGTTTTTTGTGATTGTTTTCATTTAAAGACCCCTAGTGACTGAAAAGGAAATATTGTGCATTTAAATAAATATTCTCAAGCAGTAAGTCATTTGGAGTGAATTCTGACCGGCTTGGCTTGTATCAGCAGAGTTTATATAAAGAAAGCATGAGTGGGAAACAGCAATCTGCATTCATTTTTCATGGGATTTTTTGAGAAATGCCCAGCGATTGTTTCCTGTAAAGGTCACCTATTATGCAAAATGCGCTTTTTGATGTCTTTTATACATAAATATGTGTCTTTAGTGTGTAAGGAGACTGAAAAAGTGTCAGAAAATAAAACCCTCTCTCTTTTCCTCCTTACCCACATCTCTAAAAACGGGGGTACAACGGAGCTGATCCAGATTTGCTGAGGTCATGTCAACATTACTAAAATGTGGGCTGGCTTTACGTTGAACTCCTGGCAACGTCCCGCCCAGGGGCGGACTGGGGGGAAAAAGTGGCCCGGGGATTAATTGACAGACAGGCCCACTTAATGCGCGGCATGTATCGGCCGGCCGGCGACGAAAGTATGTAACTTAACAAAAAACCCTATGCATTTTATGTTATTTTGGACCATTATTCATATAGTAATCACATTACCTGAGCCCTTGAGTTGCCTACAGCAAAAATAATTACAGCATATATTTAGTGATTTTAATGCTAACAGATCATTGATGCAATAACATTTGGACCCAATTTGCCTGACTTGACACATGGAATAAAATGATACTGTGACGATCTGCCCAAGGTTGACTAAAAGGAAGACGAACGATACCAAAATACAAAAATCGTCACTTCCCCCTTTTCTATCCTACGGGTACAGCCACTCTCCCTGCACCCCGTTTCCCTGCCAACCCCCCCCCCCCCCCCCCCCCTCAAGGCCAATTGGTGGCAGCACTGAACATAAGAATAAAGAAATGGACCGCTCAAATACCAAAAATAATAGGTTTGACCTAATTTGGTAGACTGCAACACAGACACATAATACCAGTGGTGTTTTTCTGAACCAGCCCACCTCATGGAAACCAGCCCAAATTATGTCCACCAGCCCAAGCCCAATTTTACCAGCCCAATGCAACCCAAACCAGCCCAATTGGACGCTGCGTTAAACTCCAGAGGGTTAATCACGGCAGCGTTTAGCTGAGTTTCTGCTGGTAGACAGCCTTCTCTTCACAGAGCTCACTGCTTGCATGGGGACGCTCCAAAGGGGCGTGGCCACAGCAGCTCGGTTACATTAGCCGCTTTCACACCAAGTACTTTACCGTACTTAGTTCCCAGCACTTAGTTCCCAGCACTTAGTTCCCCCATGGAACTAAAGAGCATATCGCGTTCACACTGGAATAAGTCCCTGAGGGAAGATTACGCAAATGAAGCCGCTGACGTCACTTCTTCTTCTGCTTTGGGTTTACTGGCAGGCCGCAAACAACTTCACGGCGTATACTGCCACCCGAAGTCCCGGCCGGAAGTCCCCGGAGTTGGTCGACTGGCTTCAGTAGAAGCTGCTGGGACTCCCAGCAGCTTCTACTGAAGCCTTCCGAGTAAATAGCCAGAACGCCGACACCTCCTCATCTCCACCGCTCCCATGTTTTCTTTTGTGTTGCCATAAGTTAGTCTCTCTCTGTTGGTGCGCTGGGCTAATGCTAATGCTAATGCCAGCAAATACAATCGCGGCTTCACAAAACTTTTCAGAGTTTTACGGGGCGTGGTTTACAATTCGCCCAGCCAATAGAAATTGGAACTTTTTTCTCCCCAGGAAAGTACTCATGAACTAAATACTCCGGTGTGAAAGCACCTATTTACCTGTTAAGACCTATGCCCCCGGTACCAGGGGCTAAACGCAACATCTTGCAAGAAACAGCATCTCAGGGCTTCTTAACATTTAACAAACTATGAATGTGTCATACCCACTTAGCGGTAAGAAACTCAACTAACTGACGATATGAACCATTTTTACCGAAACAAAACACAACTCTAACGCCAAGCCTCTGAATTAGCACTAAGCGAAAGAGTGCTAACACACTTAGCACATAACTCACGGTAGAAGTATGTTATACTTCATCGATTCTGCACATACAATATATCACATGAAAGCTGAGATTTCACAGATTCCAATGGTCTAGGTATCATCACTGTGCGACCAAAACTCGCGGCAGCGAAGGCGAAACCAGACAACACACAACTTAGCTTTACGGAGCCAAAACGGCAAACACATTTTACCTTTGCTGTTTTTTGATCAAAAGTTGCGTTCAAGGGCATTACAACGCATATAAACGCTGCTGAAGGTTAATCCAATGTGTCTGTGTCATTTTTGAAATGATTACTGATAATCCATCATAACATATGTCAAAAACAGAGTTTTCATATAGCTGCTATGAGAGCTACGAGAGTGTATGAGAGCTTCCGGTTTTGGGCATGCTGGCTGCGCATCATTCACCAATGGTAATGTTTAGATGGAGTTCCCCTCGATTATATTGGCTCTAACGGTTCAAAAGTGGTGTCAATCACCAAAATCGACTGATGGGTTCCAGAGATATGGCAAATACACCCAAATCACCCCAGAAGTGGTTTTCTTTTGCTAAACCTCTCTAAAAAGGTCAAAGGTCACTTGTTTTGCATCAATCTTGATACAGGGTACTTATTATATGTTATAGTTTGGATTCCTAAAGCTTTTAGTCTACCATCCCATCATTCAAGGGTGGTTTTCACTATAAGTCATGTTGTTTTTTTTGGACGGACACAATCATTTACATTTTTTTACTACACTGAACAAAAATATAAATGCAACACTTTTGTTTTTGCTCCCATTTTTCATGAGATGAACTCAAAGATCTAAAACATTTTCTATATACACAAAATAACCATTTCTCTCAAATATTGTTCACAAATCTGAAAAAATCTGTGCTAGTGAGCACTTCTCCTTTGCCAAGATAATCCATCCCACCTCACAGGTGTGGCATATCAAGATGCTGATTAGACAGCATGATTATTGCACAGGTGTGCCTAGTGCTGCGTACCTGGACTCACATTCAGGTTCAGGTCCGGACTCAAGTCCAGAGGTTCAGGTTCAGGTCCGGACTTATAAGTCCGGACCTGAACCCATGACTTGTGTCAAGTTATGTGAGTAACTAAAGTGAACTTTTTGTGAGCTAATTATGAATTGAAAATAAACTCATAATCAACTCAAATTCAAACTCATCAGGTTTATTGTGCTCCCTTCCAACTTGTGTCTACATTTCTCTACAAAGTACAAATGTAAAAAAAACACTTTTTGCCACTTAGTCTACAAATGACTTAAGACAGCAACTACAGTGAACTACTACAAAGTTCAAACCTTTTTTTCATTTACCAAACTAAAGTAACCAAACAGTCCCTGAGCTGACTGAGCCTAAATCCCTAAAACGTTGCTGAAAGGTAGAGTGTAGAGTAGACTATACGCATTACACTGTTACACACCTACTATACAGTATACACTGTAGTGACTGTACAATCAGAGTGTAGGCTACTGTACTGTCTGTACACCATGTATTTTCTACAACTCTACATGTGTACATTATACAGTACTACATACATAGTGATGTACATACATACTGTTAGAAATTAAAATCAATGTTGATATGGCGTAATTTTGAATTAAATACACTATTTAATTTAAATCAGTTTTATTCTGAAAAAAACGGAAGTTCACACTATTAACTTAATAATTGTATTCTGAAAATTCTTCACTTCCGGTTAGCATTAGCATGTGGCGAAATGCTACGTTTTCAAACCGTGAATCGAAGGTGAAATGACATGTGATGTTGTACACTGAGCACACTGGGATTAGCACTCATTTATTGAGGCTGAATAACGTTTATCAGGGAATGTTTAAATAACCACAGACACCAGAATATATATGTAAGTGCTAGTTTTTTTTGCGAGTCCAAGTACCGGTTCCCGACGTTCCGGTTTTAACCGGACTTGAACCGAAACTTTTTACAAGTCCAGTACCGGTTCGGCGTACCGGTACGCAGCACTAGGTGTGCCTTAGGCTGGCCACAATAAAAGGCCACTCTGAAACGTGCAGTTTTGCTTTACTGGGGGGGTCTGGGGGGGTCCGAAAACCAGTCAGTATCTGGTGTGACCACCATTTACCTCACGCAGTGCAACACATCTCCTTCGCATAGAGTTGATCAGGTTGTTGATTGTGGCCTGTGGAATGTTGGTCCACTCCTCTTCAATGGCTGTGCCAAGTTGCTGGATATTGGCAGGAACTGGAACACGCTGTCGTATACGTCGATCCAGAGCATCCCAAACATGCTCAATGGGTGACATGTCCGGTGAGTATGCTGGCCATGCAAGAACTGGGATGTTTTCAGCCTCCAGGAATTGTGTACAGATCCTTGCAACATGGGGCCGTGCATTATCATGCTGCAACATGAGGTGATGGTCGTGGATGAATGGCACAACAATGGGCCTCAGGATCTCGTCACGGTATCTCTATGCATTCACAATGCCATCAAGAAAATGCACCTGTGTTCGTCGTCCATAACATACGCCTGCCCGTACCATAACCCCACCACCACCATGGGCCACTCGATTCACAACATTGACATCAGAAAACCGCTCACCCACACGACGCCACACACGCTGTCTGCCATCTGCCCTGAACAGTGAAAACCGGGATTCATCCGTGAAGAGAACACCTCTCCAACGTGCCAGACTTCATCGAATGTGAGCATTTGCCCACTCAAGTCGGTTACGACGACGAACCGGAGTCAGGTCGAGACCCCGATGAGGACGACGAGCATGCAGATGAGCTTCCCTGAGACGGTTTCTGACAGCAGAAATTCTTTGGTTATGCAAACCCATTGTTGCAGCAGCTGTCCAAGTGGCTGGTCTCAGACCATCTTGGAGGTGAACATGCTGGATGTGGAGGTCCTGGGCTGGTGTGGTTACACGTGGTCTGCGGTTGTGAGGCCGGTTGGATGTACTGCCAAATTCTCTGAAACGCCTTTGGAGACGGCTTATGGTAGAGAAATGAACATTCAATTCACGGGCAACAGCTCTGGTGGACATTCCTGCTGTCAGCATGCCAATTGCACGCTCCCTCAAAACTTGCGACATCTGTGGCATTGTGCTGTGTGATAAAACTGAACGTTTCAGAGTGGCCTTTTATTGTGGCCAGCCTAAGGCACACCTGTGCAATAATCATGCTGTCTAATCAGCATCTTGATATGCCACACCTGTGAGGTGGGATGGATTATCTCGGCAAAGGAGAAGTGCTCACTATCACAGATTTTTTCAGATTTGTGAACAATATTTGAGATAAATGGTTATTTTGGGTATATAGAAAATGTTTTAGATCTTTGAGTTCATCTCATGAAAAATGGGAGCAAAAACATGTTCAATGTTCAATCTGAATTTACTTTAAAATAAAAACATATATATTGATTCTGACTCTTCTACATCCAAGTCGCAGGTTTATCATTGCTTTGAGAAAAAAGATTATTAATTTACCCCTTTTAGAATTGAAGTTATAGTCATTTGTTCTGGGCATGTCATTTTCGAGCCTGAGAGCTGAAAAACAGGCACGGGGCTTAACAGGTTAAAGGGCCAGACCCAGAATCAGCACTTTAGTAACAGGGCTGAAATAGAGGCATATGAGGCATGCTACAATCTGTTTGGTATTTTGAGCAAAACACTTCAGAGACATGTTTTATATAGCTATGGCCCTATAATATATTGTTCAGCACAATAGGTGAGCTTCAAGCACTCACACCGACACATGTACATTTGCCTTGGTGATGGAGCGGATGCTGCCTCATGTTGTGAGCTGCTGTTGGGTTGACTGACTCTCTGTAATTCACAGATACTTTGTAGCAGTGGCTCTGAATGCTTTGCATATTAATGTGTATGAGACTGACCAATATGAAACCCAGTCCTGGGTGACGAGACTCCTCTTTGAGGGTTTTGTTGTGTTTTTTTTACACATTTTAACATTGTATGTATGTAGGAAGCGAAGGATGGAGCGGAGACGGCCATAGATCCGGGGGGAGACGTGGTTTCGGGAACCCCTCCTACAAATCAAGCTGTGGATGATGAAGGGGGTGGGCAGGTGGCTCCATCTGAGGCTGCAGGAGCACCCCCCCCAGTCAGCGAGCAGGTGAGGGAGGAGCTCAGTGTGAGGAGGCTGAGCCTGCAGGCTGCAGGGGGCGTGGCCGAAACACAGGAAGGGGAGGAGACTAAACCTTGTGAGGAGGCGGGCTCTGCTGACTCCACAGAAACAGATGGAGAGGAAGGTAATCAACTATAGATGGCTTCATCTTAAGAGGAGGGTCATTTAGTTGGGTCATGGCTGGATTTAACAGCTCAAAAGGTGTTTCATGCTTCTTTTCCTTGTATTAAAAATAGGGCTGTCAGTCGATTAACATATTTAATCGCGATTAATCGCATGATTGTCCATAGTTAATCGCGATTAATCGCAAATTAATCGCACATTTTTGATCTGTTCTAAATGTACCTTAGAGGAATATTTTTCAAGTTTTTAATACTCTTATCAACATATGAGTGGACAAATATGCTTTATGCTAATGTTTATTATCATTTGAACAATGACAAATATTCTAATGAATATTAAACACAACAACCTCTGAACATTAAAAATATTCGCCTCAATTCAACCTGGAACCTCTCTCATACAATAATACAATACAACTGGTGTGTGTGTGTGTGTGTGTGTGTGTGTGTGTGTGTGTGTGTGTGTGTGTGTGTGGTGTGTGTGTGTGTGTGTGTGTGTGTGTGTGTGTGTGTGTGTGTGTGTGTGTGTGTGTGTGTGTGTGTGTGTGTGTGTGTGTGATGGATCGTTGGAGCTATGTGCAACTCAAGGCATATGCTCGAACGGGAGCTGCCTGGACGCTGCAATCATGTTGCGCACTGAGTGTGTTGACTTCTCGTACAATGTCCCACTGTCTGGCTTCCTGCATAAAGTCAAGTGCTCGGCGCAGTTGTGGCGAAATGTCGCTCCTCTGTTTTCATTTAAACAGCTCCTTATATCCGTTAGCGCAGCTAGCTAGCACCAGATACTAACAACAACAATGCACGGAAGGTCTCTCTCTCGCTCGCTCGGGCCACACATACACACACCCTCCCGGTCCTCCCAACAGCCAGTCGGTGCCTGCCGGTGCGGTGAGCGTGGAAGTGTGGTCTGCCACAAGCGGGCGGCAGGAGCGGGGCTGTCAGCATCAGCATGTAGATGGTATTTTAAACTCGATGCGCTCTGAAACTACGGGGCGGCTGAGGACAAAAAATACACATGCGTTAATCGCGTTAAAATAATTAGTGGCGTTAATTTTTTTTTTGCGTTAACGCGTTATTAACGCGTTAACTTGACAGCCCTAATTAAAAATAAAAGTATTTTGTCTTTTGTGTGTTTTCTGTGTTCAGGCTCTCACGTTAATGGCCATCCTGTACGTTCACTTCCTTCTGTGCGTCATGACATCCACCGATACCAACGCGTGGACGAGCCTCTGCCTCCCAGTGAGTGTGTGTCTGCATGCGCTGTCTATTGTAAATGTACATGTAACAGCCTGTGTGTGGCTTTTTTTTTGTATAGATTAAAGTAGTACAACTCAAGAAAATAGTCTGTTTTGTGTTCAACAATTGTTTTCTTAAATGTGTGACTTTAATCTCAGAGAAGCTTTAATATTTTATATTGCTTTGTTACTGTTAAAAGTCTTCATTCCCCCAGCTCCCCAACAATTGCATTCATATGACATGGTACTACAGGACAAAAAGTAAAATTGTTAAACAGCATATTAGCATTGTAATTTTGAAGATGTTAGCATTCTTATGTTAGCATTTGTCTGACCATTAGCATATCTCTTAGCGTTTTCAATGCTAACCAGAATGCTCAGGGGTACTCAAACTTTTTTATTAAAGGTCCACTTGTGAATTTTATACAAGGTCACTGGTCCGGATCAATGCCAGTAAAGTCCCCCCTCCCCCCTTCAAGACACGCCCGCCGGCAAGTTTCAACGCACGCCGCCGAGTGGACGCTGCGAGAAGCAGTTTCTTACGGCGCGCTATGCATGGAGCCCCCTTGAGGGGGTTTCCCGATATGTCGTTGCAGTAAATTAAAGGGTGTTTCATGTTGTCGTTGCTTTGGACCTTCTTAATCTACCTTCTTTGGGGGCCCCCTTCTGGTCCAAGGCAAGCGCTTGCCTGCCTTGCCTGTCGGCAAACGGTGCCCCTGTATACACACACACACACACACACACACACACACACACACACACACACACACACACACACACACACACACACACACACACACACACACACACACACACACACACACACACACACACACACACAACACACACACACACACACACACACACATTCAATTAATACATACAGTATGGTGGCTTGAACTAGTGGGAGCAATGGCACTGTTTGTCTGTAGCCAATGCCTTGAACCTCGGCAAAAAGGCATTAGAAGCATTAGAAAGTCAAGGTAAACTTGCGGTTAACCGTTGCGGTCTGCAATGCGTGTCACGCTCGCGCACACAAGTAAATATGTATGCACGTTCATTCTCACAACGCATCAGAAAATATACATTAATTTACATCAGAATCCGAAAGTTTATAAGTTTAAGCATACCAATAATTTTTATTTTTTATAATGGGACACAGGGTTCGGTCCGGATTGATTTGAAGTTCGGTCCGGACCCGGACCTTGGTCCGGAGTTTGAGAAGCCCTACTGTAGTATGTCAATAAATATGTGAATTATAAAAGTTCTCTGACCTCAGATGATTTTAAGATAACAGGGCTCATAACAGCCTGAGGTAGTGTATATGCATTACATTCACCTGTTGATGTTGTCTTTAGTTGTTGGTTAGTATGAACACTTTTTTTGAAGCTTATTATTATGATTATCCTCCCAGACTGGGAGGCTCGGATTGACAGCCATGGTAGGATCTTCTTTGTGGATCACGTAAACAGAACCACTACATGGCAGCGTCCCACCGGACCCCCGGCCCCACAGGGCCTCACCCGCTCCAACTCCATCCAGCAGATGGAGCAACTCAACCGCAGGTTGGCTTTGTGAAGAGAACTGTGGTGCCATAACCATTGTGTTTGTAAATGTAAACCCTATTTTCAGATGTTCAATATCTCACTTAACCAGGGGGTTCATTATTATCTAACTAATGTAACTAAAAAAGCATATACAACCTCTTTCACTAGGGAAACACCAGCAACTTTTGGATTCATCTCTCTTCTGTAAAAAAGCCTGTGTTTCACACTTCGATTTGACTGAAAAAAAATTACATTTAGTTCTCTTTGGTGTCACCTTTGGCTATAAGTGGTACTTATAGGTGTGCTTTTTGCTCTCATGGCTTGTGAGAGCTTGTGTTGGACCCCGATTTGTAATACTGCAGAGGCAAGGGCTTTTATCAATGCGCCATATGCTAAATCACAATTGTGTTACCTCCTTTGGCATTTTATGCTAGAATAGGGGAAAACTGTCTTTTCACAGCAGTAACTTTATGTTTGCTGTGTACCACAGGTACCAGAGCATCAGAAGGACCATCACCAACAGCGACCGGCCAGAGGAGAGCCCGGTGGACCTGCCTCCTGAACCAGAGAGTGAATTGATGCCTCACTCCATTACGGGTGGGTTTCATTAGACTTTAAACACACAGAAACATCAGAGGTTATTTACACAAGAACGCTACACTCATTATGGCCCAATTAAATGACTCACCTCTTGTAATTGATTAATCTCTTGAAATACTACGGTAAGCCATGCACAGAATTTGTTTTATATTATATACATATGTAAACAAATGTCTCAGAGTAGCATTAGTCTGTGGGTGTGTTTCTTTAACATCCCTGACAAAGAATGCTGGAGAAAAAAAATTGCAAATCTGTGATATACATAAAAAGATTGCTCCGGTTTACAAGTTTGACCAGTGTGTGTTGATTTGTTTTGCAGAATACCGGCGAGAAAGTGCAGTGGCTCACTCCAGCGGCCGCTCGCGGCTCTCCCTGCTGCTCCAGTCCCCCAGTGCCAAGTTCCTGTGCAGCCCCGATTTCTTCACCGTGCTGCATTCTAACCCTGTCAGTTCCACATCTGTGACCCCCCACCCCTCAGACAGACCCAATATACAAGCACACACACTGAAGTCACCCTAACTCGTAATTTTCCCTGTTTTCGCATTGTACCTAGCCATGCAGATAGATTGGGTTCACGTTTTGTGGGGCATAGACCATATATAGACAATGGGATTCATAATTTAGTTTAAAAAACAAAAACAAACAAATTAATCCATCATTTAATGAATAATTTGCTATAATACCGTTAATAATTTTTCATTATTTCACATCTTAATGATTTCATTTGCATATTGTTAACACCATGCTGTATGCAGCACTGATCCAACACATTATATATAAGACTGTTATACTGTATGTCAAGCGTTTATTTTTGAATGATTTTCAATTCACTGGTTTCAGGACATTTTGTCCGAAAAAAACAAACAACTAGTGTTAAAATAATATTATCCACATTGTCTTGCATTTTGAGTGATTGAAGTGAAAAGACCTCAAATCTGTCCTCTTGTCTCTGATGCCCCCCCTCTGCCCTTCTCTGCTCAGAGTGCCTACCGCATGTTTACGAGCAACACCTGCCTGAAGCACATGATCAGCAAGGTGCGCCGGGACGCTCACTACTTTGAACGCTACCAGCACAACCGCGACCTCGTCACCTTCCTCAACATGTTCTCCAACAAGCAGCTGGAGCTCCCCCGGGGCTGGGAGATGAAGCACGACCAAACTGGGAAGGTGTGTGAGTGTGTGGTGTATGTGTGTGTGTGTGTGTGTGTGTGTGTGTGTGTGTGTGTGTGTGTGTGTGTGTGTGTGTGTGTGTGTGTGTGTGTGTGGCCTAGCATTACTATACTTGTGGGGACCTAAATCTGTTTACACAGTCACGTGTGGGGACTCGCCTCCCTTATGGGGACAAATTGGAGGTCCCCATGAGGGGAATCGTTAATTTTAGGGTGAAGACTTGGTTAGGGTTAGGGTAAGGGTTAGGGTTAGGCATGTGCTGGTTATAGTTAAGGTTAGGATAAGTCTCTAGGAAATGCATGTAAGTCAATGTAGTGTCCCCTGAAGTGATGTATACATGGTATGTGTGTGTGTGTGTGGGGGGGGGGGGTTGTGACCCCACACCTTGGATTTTTGACCTGAGATAACTCAACCATGAAGCTAATTTATTAATTATCTTTAAAAAAAGAAAAAAAACATTTAAATTCAGTAACCTAATCCAAGTAACACAATATTAAAGTCACCTAATATAAATTATTTCCGTTACTTTTAATCGTTACCTAATGTGCTCATTGCCTATCAACTGTTGTCACGTTGATATTTTTTTGCAATAACTTACTCTGTAATGTGATACTGCCCCTTTATTCTGCTTTACCTACAAAATAATGGCCACATTTCCACCTAGTAAAGGCCCAGTGTGAGACTTCTTTTGTGAAGTTGTGTTAAATGTGCACATGAGCATGATAGTGTATTATATTTCATTTTAAAATGTATTTGAAATGATAATTTTACTTTTTTTTTTAATTAAATGTTTCACCAATCTGCATCTGTGAGAGAAAAGCTTTTTTTGTTTCATTACATTACATGACATGTCACTTGTTAGACACTTTTATCCAAAGCGACTTACATACTCAATACTGTGGACAATCCCCACAGGAGCAATTTGGGGTGAAGTGTCTCAGGGACACAACGACATGCTGACTGCAGTGGGGTTTGAACCTGTGACCCCCTGATCCCAACACCAACGCACTAATCCACTGCGCCACACGCCTCCCAACATTTTTATGATTACGTAACTTAATTCCATGTATTACTACGCCCCACCCTACATGTGTGTCCAGTCATTGTCCACTATATTTACTGCTGATTTGTTTTTGTTATTGATTCTGCATATAAAGATGTGTTAAGTCTATCCATGCATGACATCTCAATCCTCAGGCCTTCTTTGTGGACCACAACTGTCGCTCTACGACCTTCATTGACCCCCGGCTCCCCCTCCAGAGTTCTCGCTCCACTGGGCTGTTGGCCCACCGCCAGCACCTGAGCCGCCAGCGCAGCCACAGTGCTGGGGAGGTGAGAGACTGCACCACCAGTCACCTGGAGTCAACTTAATGCTGGGGAGACACTGCAATGTTTGTAGAGGCCACTTTGAAGGAGAAAGTGTTTTGTGAGTTCCTGCTTTTGTTGGCAGGGAAGTTATCCTGCCATTCCCTGAGGGGGAACCGTGAAGCAAGGACAGCAGGGCGGATTTCAATAGAAGTCAGCTAGAAAATAGAAACGAATGGCAGTAATTTGAAACAGCTGTTTATTATAGTCAAACTCTTAAATCTTGATTCCTGCAACATAGTCCTTAAAGATTTACTACTGTAATCCCAGAATGAAAGGTTGCTCCGCTCATCTTCTAAAGCTCTACATACAGCATCACAGTGATTCGCTTGGTATGATTGTGTACACTGCGGCCATTGACAATATCATTCTTGTCTCTTAAATGTTTAGAAACTTCACATTACTAGGTTCAGTTTTCCTCTTAAAGACTTTTGGATTTTGGATAGGTGCCCTGTAAAAAATCAGTGCATACTTACACAGTAGGGAATATTTGAAAAAGGTGACTCAATAACCTTTTTACTACGGGAAAATACAAATGTAACTGTTTAAAGGTACTAAATGTAACTTTCATAAAACCCTTTTCATGATATTATAAATGGAATAACGTTAATTTCTGTAATGTTCCCATAATGTATTTCGTGTCCATTGGCTCCGAGATACTAACTAGCTTGCCGTTTGCAACCTTAACCTTGACCTTAGCTTGGCTTACAGCTAGTTAGCTGTCCCTGTGTTGCATTGGTCTTCGCTAGTAAAAAGCATTCATTAACTATACACCTTAACATTGTAAAGAGAGGCTGTGGCTCAGTGGGCTAGTGCGTTGATCTTCTGATCAGGGGAGCACCAGTTCCACCCCCCCTGCAGTCAGCATGTCGTTGTGTCCCTGGGAAAGACACTTCACCCCAGATTGCTCCTGTGGGGATTAGCCACAGTACTGAATGTATGTTAGTCCCTTTGGATAAAAGCGTCTAACAACTGACATGTAATGGACTGTTTATAATTCAATTTAGCTGGGGAAGTAATTTGGCAAGCTAGCCTGCTAACTTAACCACTTATGGCGCATTTCCATTGCAGGGCCTCGCTCGGCTTAGTACGGTATAGTTAGGCCTTGTTAGGCCAGGCTCACTTTATGCTGCGTTTCCATTACAGTTTAGTAGCTGGGGCTGTAACTATAGTAACCCAGTGTAGAAGGAGCCGTGACGTCATCTTCAATGCGAAACACAAAACCAACATCAGCCGTTAGCTGTTAGCCGATCTCCATTCAGAAAACATGCATTTTAAAAGGGTTTTTCGCCTGCCGTCTGTCTGCAGACTTGTCAAAGCATTAATTCATGGTTTTTACTAACCGGTATCAGTGTGTTGTTACTTCGGCATCATTTTGAAACGTGTATTACAATTAAATCACGGTCAAATATGTTCATCTTGTTGTAGTTGTAGCCCCCTTGCCAGCGATTCTCTCTCTAGTTTAGCATACTCAGCCCGACTCAGCCTGGTTGTTGGTCCGCTAAGAACCTCGATTTTATGGGGCCAGAAAAACTGTGAAATCGTACCCGCTAGCCGGTACTACGCCTAGTAGAAACGCAACCAAAAACGGCACGGCACGCTTAAACCGCGCTATAGTGAAACTGCGCCATTAGAGTTAGATGTTAGTGAGCCAGTAAGCTAAAGTTAGCCAACTAGCTTCAACTCAGCACGCAAGCTAGCTTATTGAACAGTGAAATCAGGCCAGGAGAAGATCATCCACTCGAGACAGCATTTCTCTACGTGTGCTACACGCTGTTATGCAGTGGAGCTGATCAGACGCAAAAGACTCAAGAGTGCAAATAAAGCGGCAAAACATCCCAACTCTTTCACATACAAATCAGTCCCCATTGTTATAGACAACTGAGAATGTCGGGGAGCGTATCAATTGTTACATATGTACCTTTAACAATTTAAGGAACATCTACTTTGTCTTCTAGGTTTGTCTTTCTAGTGTTTACACAGCAGACATCCTATATTTAATACTGTGATGAAATATATTTGCAGCTGTTTTTTTTTATACATTACTGAAATGAACGCAAATGGCAGCTTGATGACATTGTACATTTATGCATGTGGAATACTATAGAAAATGGTTTGCAATAACATAAGACATATAGTTCATGAGTTAACAGAGAATGTTCAGATATTCCGATGGTTTGTAGAAATAGGATGCGAGCTGAACTAATGTGCTTCCTTTTGTCAAAGGTGGTGGACGACTCCCGTCAAACCAACCCCCCCGTCATGCCGCGGCCGTCCAGCACCTTCAGTGGCTCCAGTCGAAGTCAGTACCACGATGTGGTGCCTGTGGGTAGGTCAGGCAGGATCACATGACGCATGCAATATAAGCAAAGCATAAAGTTCCAAACACACGCTAGAGTCAGAGATAAATGCACATTCTTCCTGTTCCTCCAGCCTACAACGACAAGATCGTGGCGTTTCTACGGCAACCCAACATTGTTGAGATTCTGCAGGAAAGGCAACCCGAGCTGGCCAGGAATAACTCGCTCAAGTAGGACGCCCACTCTTCCTCTCCTTCTTTCTCATTGCTTCATTTTCTCTCTCTCTCTCTTTCGCTTACACCCAACACCTCCATTATCATCATCAGTCAAACTGAACACACAGTTAACCTTTCATCCTAATGGATTGTGTCAGTTTACCCCCTGATGTGTGTGTGTGTGTGTGTGTGTGTGTGTGTGTGTGTGTGTGTGTGTGTGTGTGTGTGTGTGTGTGTGTGTGTGTGTGTGTGTGTGTGTGTGTGTATGTGTGTGTGTGTGTGTGTGCGTGCGTGCGTGTGCAGGGAGAAGGTGCAGTTTATTCGCAGTGAGGGGGTGACAGGGCTGGCTCGTCTCTCCAGCGATGCTGACCTGGTCATGCTGCTCAGGTGAGGCTGTACCTGTGTGTCAGTGTGTGGCTCTAGGGGACATACTATTGGTCACAAGCAGCTCACTCCCAGAACAACAGGGGCTGGGTATCGCCACTGATTCCCAGAAACAATATGATTCAATATCCATTCCTTTCTGGTAATTATACCCCAAACATATAGCTTTATATACGTATACATATAGTACTGTTCCTTAATCCAAAATGCAACCAGACATCTGCCTTTAGGAGCTGCTCTTGGCTTATTTGTTGTCAGCAGATTACTTGTGCCTCACGTGGATCTTGATACCACGCAAGACTAAAAAGCATCAACCACCCACGAGAGAAGGCGTATATTAAAAGATTGATCAGGGGGTTTTATAAATCCAAATATCATCATTCATTTGATTGAAGATCAATTTAAAACATACCATTTATGTATTTTTAAACCTAGCCGTACAGTCTCATTTGATCCACCTGTGTTAATGCCGTGTAGTTCTCAGACGTCTGACTGTGTTCTGGGTGTGTACTTCTCTCTCTCTTTCAGCTTATTTGAGGAGGATGTGATGTCATACGTTCCTCCGCTGCTTCACCAGAGTTACTGCCTCTCGTCTCCTCAGAGCTCCCCCGGTGAGTCTCACTCTGTCTGCTCAGGTTTATTGGCATGATGCCCCCTGTCTGGCCTTTATTAAATTCTCTCTTTTTATTAAATGTTACACCTTCCACCATGAGGTTCGGGTTTACATTGGCTTTTCAAATAGAAGATGCAATTTCAATATATAACTCAGGTTGATATAAAACATAAAATTAATTTACATACAAAAGACTACTTTAAACATCAACGCACATGTCATTTTTTCAATGATTCAATATGCAGTAAAGTAAATCTTGAATGATGTACAGAACTATATCTAAGTTTATTTTTTTTATTTAAAATGAAGCTACTTGTTTTACTAGACGGGTATTGAATAATCCGGTTGTTTCTTGTTTTTGTGCGTATTGTTAAGGATGCTATATCCTCTGTGGCCTGTGTGTAAAGTGTTGTTAATATATTATGTGGAAAAGTAGTGACCGTTGTTGAAGCAGCTAATGAGAATCTTAACTAAACCTATATACACACATGTCCCTGAAAACCTTCAAAGACCATATACATTTTAAGTAGCTGTCGTTATAATTTCCATCATAATTTAACAGAGAAAAGCAAAAACAAAAAATTATAATTCGCTAATCAAATGCCTACATATTTTTCATTCTTTCTGTTCATTGATTTTTAGTTGAATTACTACAATACACGTCAGCTTATTTCACATTTGTGCATACCAAGTAGCCATGTATTTTATATATTTATAGTTATTTGGGTGAAATAGTAGTAGTGGACATACACACCCAAACACACACTTCTTGTCAGTGTTTATCTGTGACTGTCTTCCCACACTGAGCCTACCTATGAACAGACTCATGGAGAGATGTGCCTCTGTGTGTTGTTGTGTTGATGACAACAGCCTGATACAAAATAACAATGATCAGGATCAACCTGGGTAATGTGCTGTCATGTTCAGATTTTGAATTCAACTCCAGATTTCTCCTCTCTCATTCAGGCTTAAGCCAATTTCTACTTTGGGTCAATTTATCTCAATCTCTTTTTATCGGTTTTCCTATTTCCCCCCCCCCCTTTTTTTTGTCTGTCAACCACATTAACATTGTCCATTTCTCTGCCTTTTTCTTTTTTTCCTGTCTCCCCAACCCCTCTTATATCTCAGGCACCCAGCGAGCCAATGCCCGTGCTCCCGCTCCCTACAAGCGAGATTTTGAGGCTAAACTGAGGAACTTCTATCGAAAGCTGGAGACCAAGGGTTATGGACAGGGACCGGGAAAAGTCAAGTAGGTTTAAACTCCAAAGGTAGTCAAGTATGGATTGTCTGATTTAGCACTGATTTATATAGAATACGGGATAACAGGCAGGAGAAAAATCAGTGCGTATTGCTCTGTCTGCAGTTGAATCTATACTGAAACATGTTGTAATAAAGTATTAAGTAGGGATTTATTTCTCTGAAAAGAAAAACAATCTGTCTTTCTGCTAAAAAATAATGGAGGTCCATCAACCAGTCTATAAATATCTTAAAAATAAAGATGGATGACATCTAATTAGGGCTCTTCAGCGTCAGAGGATGAGTCTGGAAATATCACACGTTTTTAATGCTGTCTATATTCTGATATCTCTTCATCCTCTGTGCCATAGAGCTCCATCGTGAGACCAACCATTTTAATATTACATCAGCTTGCTACTGTACTGGGTGACACTGGGTGACATGAACGCACACTTTATTTATTGTCACTCAACCACACATACATCTTCCTGCTGACACAAAGACTCACCAGAGAACCAGATGTGTAGTAATCCGCTGCATTACTTAAGTACTAAAGTAATTTACTTTAGTACATTTTAGTGCTAAAACAGTTGCATTGAAAATCCAAACTGACAACAAAATATATCTGTTGAAGTAATATTCCAAGCCAAAATGTTAAAATAATGTAGTTTTCAGCCTCTCAAATACAGTTTGTAGATGTCCTGCCTTTCTCTTTTTCTTTATTATATTAAAGTGGATATCTCTGGGTTTTGAACTTCCACACAACAAGACATTATTCACATACAGTCTAATATTGATGTGTGTGTGTGTGTGTGTGTGTGTGTGTGTGTGTGTGTGTGTGTGTGTGTGTGTGTGTGTGTGTGTGTGTGTGTGTGTGTGTGTGTGTGTGTGTGTGTGTGTGTGTGTGTGTGTGTGTGTGTGTGTGTGTGTGTGTGTGTGTGTGTGTGTGTGTGTGTGCTCTCAGGCTCATAATACGGCGGGACCACCTTCTGGAGGATGCCTTTAACCAGATAATGTGTTATTCCCGCAAAGACCTGCAGCGGAGCAAGCTCTACGTCAGCTTTGTGGGCGAGGACGGGTGAGAGAGATGACTTCTTCACAATTATTTTCCTTGTCATTTGTCAGACAGTGTGGGTGACTATTTGTAACAGAAATGGATCGAGCTATATTTCAACTTAGCTCAGCCCAGATAAGCAACAGTCCTAACTGGAGCAAATGTTTAAACTGAAAACTAAAGAAAACATGCTCATGGCAGAGATGATTGGCAGCATCATCGTGTTTCAAATGGCTGATGATATATCCTGTGTATCAGTTTATTGTATTAACTAGTATCCTTTTCTTGATGCAATAGCATGTGCTGATGATTGTGGGGGTGTATCTTTGCTAAAACAACCCCCAGTTCTTTAGATTTCACTCTAACTGTTGTGTACAGCATCATTGCAGGAGAAAAATACCCTATATGTTTTGATTCAAAGTGGAAAACTTTGTGTATGGATAAAAGCAAAATGCAGCAAAGTGTGATTGAAACAGATTCAGCAAACTAATGATGACGTTGATGATCATGGGACTTCAACGTGCCGTAGATCTGCTGTACCTAACACAAAGGTCGATCCAGTGTTCTACATTGTTGTGGACCGTTTATGGTCTGATGAGTGCTCTTTCAAAACAGCGGTGCAATGATGACGTATTTCTTAAAATTTGAAGGTTTTCAGTGTGTGTGTATAGGTTTAGTTAAGATTCTCATTAGCTGCTTCAACAACAGTCGCTACTTTTCCACATAATATATTAACAACACTTTACACACAGGACACAGAGGATATGGCATCCTTAACAATACGCACAAAAACAAGAAACAACCGGATTATTCAATACCCGTCTAGTAAAACAAGTAGCTTCATAAATACCCCGACCCGCAAGTTAGCATAGCAAGGAGCCCCTGGACAAAAGCAATCACATGTTTCTCTTACATTTTGTTATATTGCAGAAAAACAGATCTGTGGCAAACCCATAATATATAAACATTTTGTTAAGCAAATACATCTCCACATATCAACACCAGTTTTATAATAATTAAAGCATAAATGCAATTGCTTCAAGTAAATTGCTGATGTTAGGCTGCAAACTCACTACATCACGTGGTTTGCTTCACCAATGCTTAGCTAAAGGTAGCTAATGTTCGACGGGATGGTGATTGGTCCCTTTTAGTAACCACAGCTTTTATGACACATAAATTAAGCATAAAAACTTCAGACATACTGTGTGGTAATTACTGACCTAGTTCATGTCGTAGAATAATACTTTAAAATATCTTCAGCTTGTGTTATGTTGTTGAATCCTCTTCTTCTGCAATGGTGTAATAGAGTTCCCACCAGAGAATTGGCGCCACCTACTGCTCTTCTCCATAAAACAGAACATTTTACAGAAAACTGTAAAATGTCTGACAAATAAAAATAATTCATTACATTTATTAGAGCGCTTTTCCAAGTGCTCAAAGTGCTTTACATTACATATATCAGACAATATGTAACAGTTATAGATGGCAAATCCGGATCCTTTTATGGATTCAAGGTCTTCTGAGTCAGTCATTGAAGAAATCCTGTTCATACGAGTCCTTTTAGTCCAACCCAGTCTCACGGCATTTCGTGTTATAGTCACGACATTTAATCTATTGATTCGTGTTCACCAACACGATTTTCCCCTTTTTTTCGTGTCACACAGAACGATTTTAAAAGCAATGTATTTTTATTGGTAGTATGTTTCGTGCCTGCAGCACGTCTTTTTGTCAGTTCGGGTCTTGGAAGACCGGAAGCTGTGTGGTTCATAAAAACATGTTCTTACTCAATATCAAGCCACGATTATTGTTTTTATTTTAAATCGTATAATGTCGGACTTTTGTTGCCGTCTGTGAGGAAAAGAAATGGCTCAGAGCCTCAGAATACTGAAATCTGTATTTTTTAAATCTTTTGTTCCTTCTAATTTCGTACGGTGGCCCTGAAGTGCAAGACACCACAGCATTTCACAAAACACAACAGCATTTCACTAAACACAACAGCATTTCACATTGGACGGAAAGGGTATTCCTTTAGGGAGAACACTTCTTGTTTATGAGTGGACAGAGCCAGCCAGAGAAGCACTGCTGTGATTGGTTGTTTTTGCTGCCAGTCAAGAAATGACGCTTCGTGATTGGTCAACGCCCGACAGCGCAATAACCGGTCCCAACCATGGGGTCCCAACACCTCAGACGTTAGCACACACTCAGAGCTCACAGCTCCTCATATCTGTTCAGAAATCTGGACAAAAGTTAAACATGTACAAACCACATGCTGTCTGTGTCATGGCGAATACAGTCGCTGCTTTATTTATGTCTGTATGCCGTTGTTGTGAGTGTGGACGGAGCAGCTACAGGTTAGTTTAGCCTGATGGATCCGATTCCATTAAGAAAACACGCATTTTAAAAGCTTTTCGCCTGCCGTCTTGTCTGCAGACTTGTCAAAGCGTCAATTCATGGTTTTTACTAACCGTTATCAGTATGTAGTTGCTTCGGCATCACTTTGAAACATGTATTACAATTAAATCACGGTCAAATATGTTCATTTTGTTGTAGTTGGTATCTCCCAGCGCCGGTATATCCCATAGGATTTACATGGAGATACGCCCCGTCCAGCGCGTCTTGTTTGAATGACAGGAGCAAACACAGCTGACAGCCGCGGTGAAACTCGAGTGATTAGAGCGATGCGAATATTGAGTAGTCTACCATAGTATTTACATGGAGATAAGCCCCTTAAAAACCATGAATTAATAAAGCATTAATTCTGTGTTTACTCCTGTCATTCAAACAAGACGCTGGAATCGGATCGATCAGGCTAAACTAACCTGTAGCTGATCCGTCCACGCTCACAACAATGTCATACAGACATAAATAAAGCAGCGACTGTATTCACCATGACATAAGAGGCTTCTCAATACTCAAATTTCCCCTCCTCGACTCCCCTCCTCGAGATTTAGACCCGCCCACAGGAGATGCGAGCGGAGGACCGAGGAGGGGAACCGAGGAGAGAGGAGGGGAAGCAGCAGACGTTTAAATAAATGAGAACTCCTCTCCTCTGAGCGGTCATTTTAAAGAGACGTCCGTTCATTATTACGTGGCAACAGCTGCATCAGCTGTCGAGTGTTTTGTCATAGCGCTGTATCTCTGTTAGATCAGCTGAACATTGTTCCCCCACATATTTACTTTGAATTCATTGAGAGTGCGGTATAATGAGACAATAACAGGCTACAGATGCGGACACACACACACAAATATATTTATATAAATATATACAATTTAAAGTATGAGAGCACTCTCATAATAACGTAACACAATCAGAGACTGATATATCCCCCCCTCTCTCTGGTCGCTGAAATGGGGAATTGAAATTACGGGCCAAAAGTTGTATTTACAAGTAGGCCTATTAAAAGTAAGCAGAGGACACCAAACCAACTGAGACCCGTCTGTCTGCCGTATTTACACACTGTACAACACACACCTACACACTGTACCACACACACCTACACACTGTACCACACACACCTACACACTGTACCACACACACCTACACACTGTACAACACACACCTACACACTGTACCACACACACCTACACACTGTACCACACACACCTACAGCTCTTAAAGCATAAGCCGTTGTGTATTTTATTATGTGAAGCAATGGTCTTAGAAAAATATCGACTCTTTGTTTGTAGATATCTACTAAACTAAAGCAAATAAAGAGAGTAGGCCTGTTATACTGAGTGATATACACACTGCTCTGCTTTCTGCATGTACCTTACAGCTATTCTCTCTGGAAACATCGCAACGCGATGAAAGCAGTTTCTAAAATAATATCCAGGGGATGCATGCATAGCTGTCATTGGCTGAGATAAGTCCGGCCGTGCGTCACGCCTCCACCGTTCCCGGAAATGCATCCGTGGAGGAACCATCAGTGTATCCTCGGTTAGAGCTCCTCCAGAGAGCCTCCTCGACGCTCGATCCTCGGTCCTCGGTGTGCATTTAGAGAAATTAGATGTCCTTCAAAATGGCGCGCTAAAATTCATTTCCGGGTCACTACCGGAGGACCGAGGAGTCGAGGAGGGGAAATTTGAGTATTGAGAAGCCTCTATAGACAGTCTGTGTTTTGTATGTGTTTAACTTTTGTCCAGTTTCTGAACAGATATGAGGAGCTGTGAGCTCTGAGTGTGTGCTAACAGCTAACGGCTGAGGTGTTGGGCCAATCACGAAGCATCATTTCTTGACTGGCAGCAAAAACAACCAATCACAGCAGTGCTTCTTTGGCTCTGTCCAATCACAAACAAGAAGTGTTCTCCCTATGGAATACCCTTTCCGTCCAATGTGAAATGCTGTGGCGTTTTGTGAAATGCTGTGGTGTTTGTGAAATGCTGTGGTGTTTTGTGAAATGCTGTGGTGTTTTGTGAAATGCTGTTGTGTTTTGTGAAATGCTGTGGTGTCTTGCACTTCAGGGCCACCGTAAATGTGTTATTCTTTTCTAAATAACACACTGTTATTTACTCACCAATAACACACAATTATCCTTGCTTTTATTTATTGGTTTAATTCCATAATCTCTGGCTTTTTTGGCGTCCGTCAGGAACTGAATTTCAAAATAAAAATAACCGGAAACAGACGTAGGCCTATAAGGGACATTTCGAGCATCATTGTGATACGCAGCCACTGAACTGATTACCCAAGATCCTCAGCTAAGGTTTAAGCTCGCTGATTGGATGTTTTAGCCGCAATGCATGTAGGGATATGTTGTTCATGCCATATCAAATCTGAAAAACTTTTTTTTTTTTTTTAAATAATACTTTATTCCGAGTGTTTTTGCTTTTCTGTTTGAAAGTCATCACATAACGGCACTTACTAGCCAACCCTCCCGATTTTCGCGGGAGACTCCCTGATTTCATAGCCCTCTCCCGGTTTCCTCCCGGGGTCATATTTCTCCCGCATTTCTCCCGATTTCTGACAAAATCAGATTTACTCACGACTGTTTCCACTCTGACTTTAATACAGCTCCACCATTGTT